GCGGAGGAGGAGTAAGAGGGTACACCCTGCGAAATGCTCAAGGAATCATGGGTTAAGAAATTCATAGTCTCAGAATTGGAATAAAACCCAAAATGTCGATCAAAAGCTTAGGCTTTACATCGGAACATTAAGAATCATCGAGACTCTGGCCGAAAACTTAAGTTTTCTTAAGCATCGCCTAAGGGGTAGAGCATCCACCCTCGGCATGATCACCCCGGCACGCGAGGCCGCCTCGTGAGCGCACCCACAAAAAGGGAGTCGAGCAGGGCAGGGCTGCTTGGTGACCGCCTGGGGCCGTTCAGTAAACGCCAGTGATCGGGTCTCGGACGTCCATTCCTCGTGTATGTTTCGATTTCGTGCGTGGTTCTTTCGCCAAGTGATCGAGGATGCTCCTCGATGGCCCTCGCCGAGAAAAAATGCACACGTCCGAGCGATGCCAGGGGGTCTGGAAGGAGGCATACCCCGACACCGAGAGGCGTCGGGGGCTCCGCAGCAACCCCACGGCAGGAAGGCCAGCACTTTGCCCTAACTGCCACCACTGTGCCGCCTCCTCCTCATCCTCCTCCTCCTCTTCCTCCCTCTCTCCCCCTCCACTTCCCTTCTTCTCGTCCCCCTGCTCATCCCAACATCCTCGATCCTCGAGCCGCGAACCTCGATCATCGAGTTCGGCGGATCGAGGGGATCGGTGGTGGGTGGCCGCAGCGGCCCCTCGAAGATTCGGCTGCTGAGCTGCAAGGGCGTGCCCGACAGGCGGGCTTCGGCCTGCGTCTTCGCCAGCGCCCGGGCAGCACTGGCAGAGCGCCTCCCGCCCGACGCCACCACTCCCGCCCGCTCTCTTTCTCGGGGGACGGTGAAGAGGGGAAAGTAGGGGTGGACGAGGTGGCAACCACCCGGGCCGCGGACAACGAGAAGCAGTCTCAACAGGTCAATGGGCAACGCACACCATCCTGGGGTGCAAGATACGCCACCGTGCGGCAGGCACTGAGTGGAATGTCCCGAAATGCCTCAGAATCCTCAACATCGAATTCTGCAAATGCTCTTCAGCGCCCTTTATGTCAGGGCCTCGATCCCCCAACTCACGGAATGTCTGGGCGCTGCCTGGCGCTCTTGGGCGCTTCCGGGGCTGCGGCCGCGACCCTTTCCCGATGCCCTGGACGTGCTGTCGGGAACCCCAACCAACTTCAAACATGCCCTCAGCTGCACCCATGGTGTCGTCCTTGAGCCGTCTTCGGGGGCCCGCGGGGCCGTCTCGGAGGCCTTCGGGGCCAATCAAAGAGGCCCAAAGCACTGAACAAACGGAAGCTCTGGTAGGATTTTCGCATGCTCGCCTTCTCGGCCTTACGTCGAAGACGGTCCAGGAGGCCCCCAAGCTCCGCCCAAGAGGGCCCCCGAGGCCCCTCAGTGAGGCCCACAAAGGAGGGGGGGGAACTCGAATCGGCCCCGCGAGCCCTCCACCACGAGGTGGCCTCCGAGACCGCCAGCAGGCCCCCCAAAGGAGGTGCTCCAGATGCCTCCAGAATAGGGGAACAAAAAGTGACATAAACATAAAAACTCGGAGGTCCGCGCGGACCTCCGAGTTTTTATGCCTGTGCCACTTGTTGTTCCCCTGCAGAAGCCCCCCGGGAGGCCCCCAAGACACCTGGGTCGGCCAATAGGCGCGGCCGCCTCGTGGCCACGAGCGGCTCGCTAACCTGGGTCAGCCAGAGGGGCTCTTCGCAAGATCCTGCAGGATCCGGTGCCCTGGCTGACCCCCGCCTGCATTGACCCCCGTCCCAAGGCTCCCGAAAGATGCCCCTACAGAAGCCCCCCAAGGGAGGCCCCCAAGACACCTCCGAGATGGGCCGCCGCTGCCTCGACTGGCTGAGAGGGGGGCATTTCTGGCAGCAGCCGGGCCCCCCAAAACAGGTGCTCCAGATGCCCCCAGGAGCCCCCTAGGAGCCCCCCGGGAGGCCCCCAAGACACCTCCAAGATGGGCAGCCGCTGCCTCGACTGGCCGTCGAGGGGGGGGCACTTCTGGCAGCAGCCCGGCCCTGGGAGGCGCCGGGAACCCGTCGGGCGGGGCGCCGGCCTCGCTGCCGGCACCTCCCTCCCGCGCGCGGGCGCCGGCACGCTGCCGCTGCCGGGCCTCCTCCTCGGCCATCGAGGCGCGCGAGGAGGGCTGATCAGAGCCCCGAATCATCAGGGGTAACTCGGGTCAGGGCTAGCTCGGGTTTGTTTTTCGGGAATCCGAACCCGAGTTGCCCCGGGCCCGAGTTACCCCGGATAATTCGGGCGCCCAGAGCCCCGAATCATCAGGGGCAACTCGGGTCAGGGCTAGCTCGGGTTCGTTTTTCGGGAATCCGAACCCGAGTTACCCCGGGCCCGAGTTACCCCGGATCATTCGGGCGCCCAAGCTGAGTTGGGCCCCGCCTCCTGCCCGAGGTCGCGACTGCTCGGGGCGTCGCGAGACATTCGGGCCGTCGCCCAGAATAGTAAGCGTTTTCGGATTCGGCGTTTCGACCTTGGGCGGAAGGGGGGGGGAGGGGGGGTCTTGCTCCGGACCTCTGTTCCATGCGTCTGTCAGCAGTGCGCCCCAGGGGGGAGACTCCACCTGCCTGAGACAAATATCTACTGCATTGGGGGGCGAGGGCCCGCGCCGATGGGCGGAACAATGAATAAGAAAGCGATCACATGCACTGTGAATGATGGGCTGCGCTGAGCTTTGCGCTCCGTGTTCGAGCAGCCGGCGGCGCGCGTCTCGCTGCAGGCACGAGGCAAGACCCCGAGATCCGACGTCGTGTTCCTTTCAACGCGGGGTCCCCGGAAGCCTCGACCCAGCCCCCAGGGCCGAGCTCTCCTCCCGAGGCCTTTTTTCACGGCCACGGGGCCCGGCGAGTGCCACTATAGGGGAGAAACTCGAGCAAAAGCCCGAGTCTTATCTTTCTTCCGTGCGGTGGATCCCCGGGGATCCGGCGGCATCGAGCCGGGGAAGCGGATCGGCTCGAGGCGTGCGGCGGATCGGGAAGCCCCGGCACAGGGAGGAGGAGGAGGAGGAGGAGGAGGAGGAGGAGGAGGAGGAGGAGGAGGAGGAGGAGGAGGAAGAGGAGGAGGAGGAGGGGGCTCGAGATCGCACCGAGTCGGCTGCGCCAGGATGCACAGCAGCGCCATGCGAGCATCGGGCCGCCTCGGCTCGTCGGGATATCGGCATCGAAGCGGGTCGTGTCGGCCAGACTCGATGCAGACGGGGCGTGGACCTTAAGGAGCCCCAAATGAGGAACGAGGCCCCTTTTTTCCCATGAGTTAAACTTCGATGTGCCATGGGAAACCACAGGAAAACCCGAGGCAAGCGGATTCGCAATCAAGGAGCACCGAGCCCCTCTCCAACGCAAAGGGTTCCTTCTTCAGCGCCCCGACTGTATCGCATCGGGTCGATCGGATCGAACTGGACCCTGAGAGGTGGCGACGACAGCAGCGCCCATCCAGGGCGCGGGGGCTGTGCGCTCGTGGGCTCAACCAATCTCCTTCCTCGCTGCGCTCGGGGAGGAGGAGGAGGTGGAGGAGGAGGAGGAGGAGGAGGAGGAGGAGGAGGAGGAGGTGACCAGCCGCCCCCCCTAATGGGAACATTGGTGGCCCCCCCGTCCCTCCTCCGCGGGATCTCCCTCCCGCTCCATCCGATGCAAGGGAACGGGATATCTGACTGTAATCGGCGCGATCTCGCGGGACGCCGACTCCAGCGCCCCGAACGTGATGAAAGTGGGTCAACATGCTCGCCAAGGCCCAATTGGAAGCAGGTTGAAGCAAACGGGAGCAAGTGGAAGCATGTGGAAGGCGAAGCAGATACGCCAACGTGGTGATGCCGCCGACGAAATACGATGCCCCAGGTATCCGAACACCTTGGACACCTCCTCGTCGGCACTCCAAAGATGTGCCCACGAGATACAGTCAACCCGTACAAAAATGACGCACAATAAGGATGCGAGGGACTTGGAAGGCCATGTCGACACTTTGCGAGCGAAGCGCGGCTAGCGAAAGCGGCCAAGGATGGGCCGAAGGGGAAGCATGCGAGGGCAACCTTGGAACATCGTTCATTCTTTCTCTGCGGGTTGCCTGTATGGGGCCCTGGGGCGAGGATGCCTGGAGCAAGCTCAGCCTCGACGGCCCTTCTTGTCCGTAGGGCCCCCCCATCCCTCGGGGCCCCCTCTTCGAGCCAACGACTCTGGCTTCTCGCCTGCGGCACCCGGGGCGCGCCCCCGGGGGCCGCGCGTGGCAGGAGCACATGGCTGGGGGCTTCCCACGCCACCCTCCGCCAGGCGCTGGGCGCCGCCCCGCGCAATGTACCACTGGCGCCCTCCTCCTCCTCCTCCTCCTCCTCCTCCTCCTCCTTCTCCTCCTCCTCCCCCTCCCCCTCCTCCTCCTCCTCCTCCTCCTCCTCCTCCTCCTCCTCCTCCTCCTCCTCCTCCTCCTCCTCCTTCTTTCCGTCTCCTCCGAAATCACACCTCCCAGTCGCACCCCGATGCGCAGCGGAAAGGGCGGGCTGGTCGTATCGCCTGAGACTTCCTCGCCATTTGTGACCATTGGACTGAGACGTTGCACGAAAACCACGGATGGAGGGCCGGTCGTTTTCAAAATGTGGGTTTCGCTTTAGCGCTGCGCGCATTCGTTTTACAACTGATGCAAGAGCTTCACGGATCTAGGGCGGGCCCTTTTCAAATTGTGGCTCTCGCCTCAGCGCCGCGCACATTCTTCTGAACAGGCATGCAACAGTTTCACGGAACGAGGGCGGGGGCTTTTAAAACTGTGGTTCTCGCCTCAGCTAAGCGCTGTATTCTCTTGCACAGGGTGTCGAAAGTTCCGACGACTTTATTCCGCGTCGCGACGCACACACACACACCTCCCCTTCCTCACGCACCACATCACCACCTCCCCCCCTCTCCCAGTTGGGGCCCCGCTCACTGCCCCCTCCGCCATGACCACTTTATTCCGCGTCGCGACGCACACCACCTCCCCCACCCCTCCCCCCG